CCAACATTGCGAAGCTTCAAGTCTCTCCTGAACCATCTAATTACTACTTAAAATTATTATCAAGAATATAATGATTTAAATTAAGAACAACAGAGTTAACGATGAAAATGTTGTTAACGCAACAACATTTCAGTTCTGTTGTTGCAATGTTTTAAAAGTTAAGTATTGATATAGGAATTAATAATGAATATTAGACGGTTGTCATTTACTTTTAATTCAAACAAAAGACGTCGAGATATGTCTCGCTGATAAATGGAAAAATTATTCGTCCATATAAATTGAAATTGATGGTCACCCGGGCTATCGTCCCGATCTCGCCGGTAGCGATTAGTCAATGCACCCTCTTTAATTAATAAAAACTCTTAGAAAAAGAATTGAATAAGGTTTTAATTAATTTCCACAGTCCTCTTTGTGAAGTTTTTCATAAATTATGATCATCCTACCCAAAAGTTTGAGGTCGCATTGGAATTTAACATTTTCCGGAAACGGAAGTGAGTAGCATTACGCTTAATGGATCTTTTTTGAAAGATAATGTTAATCATGAACAATTTTTAATATGATTTGGTAAGTTTTTTGTCTTATACAACGTCATAAGATTGTTAATTTGTTTTTATTTATTTAGCAGCGTTTGTTGGTCTACATCATATATACATATATTGTATAACATGCAGAAACAAAAATGGCACATTGGTGGATATGAAATTAGGTTAAGATCTAGATTTGGCTTGACAATAAAATTGAAAAAAAAAAACAAACAAAAATCTCTTTTCCTTGAAGAGTTCAAGACTATTTCATGATTATTTTAATTAATTAAATAATTAAACTAATAATAAAATAAAATTATTAATGTAATGTCTGCAGTTAACGAGAGTAGTACACATTTTAATAAAGCACTTAACGGTTTAAAACAACACAACAATTTTTACAATTTATTCAATCATAATAAATATTACAAAATAAAATTAACTAATACATTTGCGTTTTAAACCGTTTAAAGTATTTTATTAAAAGATATTATTTTCACTTGCTTTATTGTAAAATAACATTACATTCTATACCTGAATATTCTTTTACCATATTTCATATTCAAATCACCAGACACAAGACAGGATGGCTCCTAGAGGGTAATATTATATGTGCATATTTAGACAAACTTGCCATCTCATTTTAGACAATTAGGCGGGCAAACAAACAAACTTGATCGCCAACTTAAGACCACCGCATATATGGTACTTCATCTATACTAATACATATTATAATTTGAACGCGCTAATCTTTGCAACGGCAGGTTCGAATTGAAAAATCTTTTTGAGTTGATTAGAGCATTTATTTTGCTTTAGGCTTAACTTCTCAGTTTAGACAGAATCTAAATTAATATACATATGTTATATCAAACAGAGGAGTTCGTTAATACAACGGTAATAAAATGTTCATATCAATTAATAATACTTAAGAAAACCTTTTGGATTTCGTCAGGAAAACTAAAGTGTAAATCCATTTTTGATTTAAAAATCGATAATAAATTCGACTCGAGCAGGACTTGAACCGGCATCGTCAATGTTCTGTGCTGTTGCTCTACCAAGTGAGCTACCGAGTGACTCGATTTTTAAATTATATAGTGCCTTAATGTGCAGTCACATGTAAAAAATATTAAAGCTTTCAATCCATTTTTGGTTAAAAACCCTATACTTAACTGTATATATAATTTGATTTTTACTATATATACATTTTGCGTAAGGATAAAACCTGAACTTAACAGTATAAAAAATGAAAGCAAAGTCTAGAGTAGAGAAATATAATATAATAAATTTTATAATATTCACTACTGTATGGTAAAAATATCTGAACAATATCTTATACGCATATACATTTAAATTGAAAATAAGATATTCTATGCAAGAATAACCATGCACTGTTTTCGAACACCTTTTTAATATATTCCCAAATAACATGGGCGCTTGGGTTTTTTAATTGTCTGTTTTCATTTGTTTCTGTGGGCGGGACAAAAACACGGCATGATGCGTTTAAACAATAGGGTTTAATAATAATTGTCTATGCGGTAGACATCTTTTTTACTATCTATAAATAGATGTAATCTCTGCCTTACTAGTTTTATCTAAAATAACACACTAAGATGAATAAAAAAACCGTTATTGGAATTAGAAGCCAATGTGACCAAAGCTGTAACGCGTTACATAATGAAACGGAGCTTCCTAATTAATTGAATACTTAAATATTAAAATAAAACATGTTTAACAGTTTATTACGAGAAATATATTACTTAGTTTATTTACAATTTGTTTTAACTACGTCCCCAACTTTTCTAATGCTGTGCAGCAGCCATGGTCAAGCGTGTATATATTTAAAAACGCGAAAAATTAGTAAAAGTTATTTTTATTTATTTTTACTACGATTCGAAGTTTCGAAAGCTTTATGAAAACAAGTTTCACTCCAATATAACGCGTTTTATACCGTTTAAATGTGTTTTATTTAAATGTAACACTTATGTAAACTACTACACACTTAATTAAGTCTTTTATAACACCTGCCAGAATGTTGATAATAAGGTAAGCGACGGTGTCATCCACATATTATAAAAAGCTTAACTTAGCTGATAAAAACTTAATACCACCTACATTTTATATGCAGGTTCAAAAGATAATCCTAGCTTGTCTGACGATAAGAACAGTTGGGACATCGCTAAATATTTTATAAACATAGTTGACAAAAAACTGCTCACAAATTACAATAGCAAAATGTTGATAAAAATATATTTTTTTTATTTTAACCAACAAGAAGTGTTGAATAGAGCCTATTATTCGTAATTATACCAACTGTTTTTATACAAACTGTGGCCTAGCGACCACCCGAGGATTCTTCGAAGTGTGAATCAACTCGACGACTCTAAGAAATTGGTCTCCTATTAATTTGAACAACTCAATTCGCTAGACCGCAAGAATTTAACGGGCAATTAAGATAAAATTTGTTTTAAAACACATTTAGACGTCTTTATATCAAACAGAAGGTCCTTAATTATTTAAAGTGGAAACATAAGTATAGTAAAATAGATTTTTTTTTACTCGAAAAATAAAGTAATTTACTGCATTATAGGCTATGTTGTGCTTGCGTTACTATTGAGACAAAGGCATCATAATATGCAAAAGGAAATAAATATTCTTTCGAATATTAAAGTATAATTTTCCTAATAGCATTAGCTTATACAAACCAAATTATACAGTCACAGACACCTCTCAAACCAAGCACGGTAAAAACATTACCGTACACAAAAATGATGACTAACGCTTCTAATTCTAAGATTACTGTCTTAATGCCAGGCTTTAGCAAAGGCGAGAATGGAGTAAGTAAATAGAAACTCTGTATCAATGTTAGCATTTCGTGTACTTACGAAATCCGAGCTGTAAACCGTTATTTCTATAACTCCAAATAGAAAGCACCTTTAATGATGGTAGAGCGCGTTTTGTGCGCGTGGAAAAGAGTGGGTGCTAGTTGTCTATTTCAAGTTAATGTTTGTTTTTAAATAAGACAAAGAAACTGTCATCATTTTGCCGGCCATTCCAATATTAGAAGTACTGCAACAACTTCTTCCCAAACATAGGCTTATAGTAACCACTTTAAAGAACTTTTGGCAGTTCAATCATATTGTAAGTGATGTTACACGCCATTTCATTCTTCACTTATATATTGTAGGTTAAGAATTAAGGAGCAAATAGCGTACTCTATATCACATATAATCCAGCTGTAAGGAAAGCTTTATAGCCATCGTAAAAAACTTTGAGATGTCAAGATAAAATGTATTGTATACGCTCATTAAAGTACATTATACCCAAATATTTACTTGGTTAAAACTCAAAACCGACGTTTATTCATTACCATTTCTAGGACAAAACGTGGAAAAGATAAGATAAACCGATACGTCACTGTTTAAATCTAGGGACAATGGAAGAAAAGGAAGCGTTTCGAAACGGTATTAAAGAAGTCCCCTTATCTGATGGAGACGTAAAAACAAACAACGGTATACCAAAAACACCTATTAATAAAAGCTTTTATCATGATTGGTTATTTCTAATGGAATTTTGTGAATGTGCAGTTCTTGATGTTGTAGATAGAGGCAAAAGATAAACGTTTTTAAAAAGTGTCGGCGTAGAACAAAATTTTTGTTGTTTTATTCCTACACAAAGCAAGTAACGTTACAATGGTCGCGCTTATTTGTATATTTATTATATAGTTGATATCCTAACTTATACTACAGGAACTATTGAGGGTAGGTACTTCTAGATTTCTGCGTACAAATATACAAGTTCGATCAGGCTTTTGTCAAGCACAGGAATTAAACCTAGAACCTTGGTGTCGTTTTATAATCATGAATGGTAATTACTTCTATGTCAATGAAAAGTTACTAATATAGATCTCAAAGGCATAAAAGACTATACACATAATGGTACTCATAGCTAAATAAATATTAGAGGTAACGTGGACAAAAAATTGCAATTTATTATGACTATACACATTTATACAATTCTCAGAATAATATATATTTTTATTTTCCATTTAATTATTATACTGTAAGTTACTCAATTTATATCAAACTAATAAGAAGTGGTCACTCGTTCAAAACCTTTGTCCATAGATTGCTGCAAGATTGAGCGAACCTCTAATTAGAGTTTGCATACAGCTAGGATATTTTCAGTTTATTTTATTCCTTTGCTTCTGTCTGGTTGGATATTTCATACCCGGTACACAAAGTAGTCCTTTCAGTGAAAGCATATTATAACGCTCTAATAAGAATTTCGTTTCAAGTTAGAATTCATTTCACGTTTGTTTTCTGTCTTAGTGTTTAAACCTGATATTCCATTAGAATCCACAACATTTTAGAAAGAGATATTCAAAAGAATTCAATTAAGACTTGCTGCTTTGAGATTGACGAGTTAAAAGCATTTTAACGAAGGTTCTAAATTCGTATATTGATTAAGTGTACTTACTGGTTCCGTATCGCAGGTCTCCAAATCAGGTATTGGATCGTCTCCACAATAATACTCCGCCTGGAGGAACGGTGGCCGAGGGGGTGGAGGCAACAGGAACTCAGGAGGTGGTCCAAGACAATCACACTCCGTTAGGTCCGTGGGCTCCAGATCCCACATATCGCTTTTATCTAACTTAACACTATTCACAACCTCACTATAGTAATCACTAACACTCGAACTAGTATCACGTTTGACGCGTTTTAATTCATTGGAAGTTCTTTGTTTTATAACGTTGGCTATGTATAGTTCATCGTCGACGTCGCTCCATACATTCTTTCTAACTTCCTCTTCGAAGTCATTTTCTTCCAACTCTTCTGCTATAATGTTATTGTATTCAGATTCGGTTGCAGACAATGCATCAGCTTTATTAATTGAATCATTCTCGTCTTTGCCTTCATTTACATTTGTCTTCTGCAAACGTTCTTTGCTAGCATGTTTGCTCCAGACAGTTTTCGTCCAAGAAGCGTGCGACGACGCTTTATTTGGACCTCTATAGCTTTCCATACGCAGATTTCGTCGTAATCTGAAACAGAAGACAAACTCAAGTAAATACAAATCAAGGGGCTAATAACCAACAGGTTCTGATTTCGATTTTCCTTGAGGCTGAGGTATTTTACCTTCTTAAAAGTAAACCCTGTGCTTGCCTTATCGCTATCATAAAAATAGATAAATATGAAATGCCACTATTTGATATGGCATCCAATTTAGAAACTGACACTGAATATAACGATTCTCATCTACGAATCGAACCACTTATTATTTAATAGAAGAGTAACACCTCATTTTGTATAACAAAGACGCCGCAATTAGAGGCTACCACGTCCAAAGGTACAATCGATGCGTTAGTGTCGATATCATCTGGCCTCACGAGTTATTTTAATTTATTTTTTATCACATCAATTTGAGTGGATGCTTTTCTAGCGGTGTCTACCGGGTTCTCCATTGAAAGATTGTAGTCTAATGTTTTTTATTTCGATTGCTTTAAGTTAAACTGAATCTTGTGTTTTGATTGACAGATGTTTGGATTTTAGAACGGGTGAGTTTTTGCGTTTCTTTTTTTGAATGAATAGACTTCGACAAAATGGACGGCTTGAATGTTTATTGTTTAACCACTTTAGAAATAATCTACTCCCTGAATTGCAATTGGTTATCAATACAACGTAAGTTTATTAGGAGAAATAGCTGAAATTTTGAAAAACGTATTCAGAAATAGTTTTATGATAAAGAATAACGTAAAAGTATTATCTAGGTTAAAACTCAAGTGATACTTCTTCACCGCAGTACGTATGCATAGAAACAATAATTACTTTTGATAATTAAGTACCGTACCGAAAAGCCATAGAAAAAAAGACAATAAGGTATTTAAATACTTAGTTATTTACGAGGTGAAAGTGAGGCCGTTGGGTCAAACGGTGAAAAGGCGACCCTGTCAAGTAAACTGTCATTTGTGTAAAATGTTGACTGCTGGAGCCTTATTAAGCGAAGTATTATTTAGAATAAATAACCGGATAGGTACCAAACCGGTGTGCCTTTTGTTTTAATGGTAAGAACGATAATTATAAAAAAATTTAGAACTTTTTTATAAATTTAAAAAAAATATAACACGGGCGGGACTTCATCCAGCATAATACATGTTGTATTTTTTTAACTTAATAACATATGTAGAATCTTTTTTATTTTATTTTTTTACTGTTTTACTTTTAAACATTGATTAAACTTAGTATAGTAGGTACTTAGGTATATAATCACACAAAAGAATACAAGATATAACATTTCTTGTTATTTACATTTTTTAAATATGAATATCCTAACGTAGATCAAATATTTATTAAATACAGTAAGTGGATTGTCTTAATAAAGCTTTGACCCTTTTCCCTGCATGGTCAAAAGGCGAACACATTTCTGTGTCTGTTTCACTGATCGATTTTATTTACAGGCAATTAGTTTATTTCTGTGCCCTGCCCGACCGAAACTCTACTGTTTCCCGATAGATATTGAACTCATGACCTCTCGAGTTTAACACGTTCTACCATTTAGCTACAAAGGCTCGCTCTAATGTATCAAATCTCTTGTTCTTTTAAAAAAGTACTTTACCGGTTTAAAACGCGATTTATATTAGTTAAACTTGTTTGTAACTATTTAAACTACGGCCCGATGTTTCGAAAGCTTTGCAGCAGCCGCACAAGCAAGTTTAACTTATATTATATATGGCTTGTTTTATTTAATTTTTTGCGTAAAGTACAGACAGTATTTGAATCTCTTATTGTTAAAATACATCTATATTCCTCCCTATGGCTTAATTACCAGGGATCGTGATATGACAAATCAATGGTGCCATATAGGCTGAGGCTGAGCTCATTAGCATTTTGGCGGGAAGGACCTGACATCAGCACAATAGTGGAGAGCTCTCGAACCTCATAACGAACGCTATTCTGTTGGTTTTCTCACGTGAATTATTGTTAGCGCGTAGGGCTATCAACTCTCTACCGAATGTCTTATCTCATCATGTCGAATCGATGAAGTGAAGTCAAATGCAGCATTGCAGCAGCCGTGGTTATAGCAAGCAACCGAACCGCGGTATATTCACGATTTAAACCGTCAAAACTGTTTTATTTAAATACTATGTACTTCCTTTATACTAAGCGGTTAGCTATGAATTCATAAATATTTCACCTATCCTACCATACATAGGTAGATTCATCTTTTCTTCAACCTAATCTGTCTCTGTAAAACTGGTCTGTAAAATTAATATACTTAAATTAATTAGCTTTATATTTATTAATATTTTACCAATCTCTACCTACCAAACTTACATTCACATTTTCGGCTATCTAATCACAGTTCCAATCATTGAATTTTTAATTTACTTATTCATTATTTGAAAAGAACCATCTTAAGTACGCAAACAATCAAACAGATTAAATAGAACATTTTTTAAATTTAGAAGCAAGTTACAACTTTCACTGGTCGCTTTTTACAGACACACATTTATTCAGTTGTTCAGACGTTTGTGTCCTGCCCAAACCAAACCTAGGATTCGAAGTAACATCTGCGCTTTTGCTACAGAGCTACTTTTGTGTGAGCTAACTGTAGCTACCAATACTGCCTTTAAATGTTTGAAAGATATTCACACAGAGTCAGCCCTAAGTAATAACGGTCATCCCTCTTGAAATCTTAATCCGAGGTTACGCAGCGTAGAGGTTGATTCGTATCTAGTGAAGATCACATGAATCGTACGAGCGAGAGCTTTTACATGAATAGCGTATCTATGGTCAAAAGCTCAATGCGATCGTTAGTACTCTACTTGTCTATGATTTAGTAGTTAGATGTCAAAAGGGTACTTAACATTATTGCGGTAGGTTTCCTAAATGTGTTCCTAATATATAAAGCTGAAGAGTTTGTTAGAACGCGCTAATCTCATAACCTAGTGGTTTGAATTGATAAAAATCTATTTTATTTTTTAGAGCATTTAACGAGGAAGGGGTTAGGCTATAAAACATTATGCTGCGACATTATGAAAAGAAACAGAGGGATATAAGAAACCAAAAACTACGTAGAAAACAATGATTCTTCTTTTAATGATCTAAAAAATGTCCGCGGCACTATATAATATGCAGACAAAGTCGCTGACATCTCGTGATAAAATAAATGCGTCAAGAAATAATTCAAAATTAGTGAGAAAATTTTAAACGGGTCACAAACCACAGAGCAAAGGTGAAAAAGCCAAGTTTAATCGCATTACGTATCAGTCTGTAGATTTCCATATATCCAAAGACAAAAAGTTACGAGTATACAATAAAGTCACACACAGTCGGCACTCTGCACTCAAATTAGTCAAAATGTTCTAAAATATTAATCCAAGTCGAAAAACAAAATACATCTATCTATAGTCTACACATCTCCATTTCATATTTTGATCCTGAGCTATATTACCTTAAATACCGTCTATAGTTTACGCGAGTAGTACACATTTAGATAAAACACTGTAACGGTTTGAAACGCGATATATTAGTTAAACTTATTTGAAAATGATTTTAAAATAAGTTTAACTAATAGATCGCGTTTTAAACCGTTAAAGAGTTTTATTTAAATATATTACCGTAATCAAATTAACCATATAAGGCTCTTGCGCTAAAAAAAACAATTTCATCATAATTTTTGTATTGTCTAGATCACAATTCGCTTGAAATAGTTATGCATAGATATCATTATATTCATTTTCTATTCAAAGTATAATGCACACATTTCACATCTGACCTATAAACATTAGTATCTCGTGTGTATTCATAGAAAATAGGTACCAGTTTATTAAAAGAATAATTCTAACTCATCTCTATGTTTTCATAAACCTACTTATACAATTGATGGAGGAATAGTAAAACGGTTTTGCTCTAAAAAGCACGTCGTAGCCTGCCAACTTAACCCGTACAATGCGTATTGAGTTTAGGGAACACTGAACGTGGTTTTATGTCATAAAAATGCAATGTTGTGTGGGCGGGACAATTTGATACGATTGTTGGTTTCTGGGTCGTTGCTGTTATAACATTTAATTTTTCTCGAAAGATATTTCTTGATGCTTTTATTTTAATAACCAACTTGCTCCAAAATATTATACATTTTGTATTTGTCTAGATATTGCATTGCCTATCACTGTACTTAGTACTTATAAAATAATATGTTACATATAATATTAATATATGAAACGAAGAGAATATTTAAAATATATATAGTAATAACTTGTAACAAATACGAAATCCTAAACTATTCTATCAAAACTCATCCTTCACCAGTTAGTTCACTTGTTCTTTAATAGATGGCACTACGCGTTCAATTTGGTCGAAGTAAGTTTTAAAATGTTTATTATTACAGGTTTCACATATTTTAAAGTAACCGCATTTACGCTGATAATGACTTCCTCGCTATGTTTTTGACCTTGTGAATGCTAATTCGCTTTAACAATAAATATAAATTATAATTAGTAATATTACATAAATTGTGTATATTTTTCGTTAGTCTCCAAATTTCAAATCAAACTTCATAATAAGTCAATAATGTAATATTAATTACAGCTATTAGGGATTCTTTACAAAAACTAACACTTTTAAAAAAACTAATAATTGAAATCGAATTTGATGTCATAGTTACAAATTTAAAATGGGTGCAAGTCTACTAAATAACTAATTGAAATATCTATTAGTTTGAGTTACAGCAGTGTATTGTATTCTTCTTGTTACCTTCTGTTAAGTTCTGGTGAAAGCTTCTATTGAGTCACGTCGGCGGTCAATTTCACAGATTTATCCGCCAAAACGTTTCACTTTAAGAACTTCTATCTTACAATTGTGTACTTTTAAATCTATTTTTATTTATATAACTCCAGCAATTACTGTTGATAACTGTCACTGATTTATTGACTTTAACTGGGGTTTTGAACAAGATATAAAGATTAAATTAAGCCACTATATAGCATTGTGATATTACATAAATAATAAAATTGACACAAGTACAATGTAACGACAAGTAACTATCTTCTAGTTATCTTCTTTATATTTAGGACATGTCTTGGTTATCGAGTTATCAAATACTTGTAGTAAACACGTCAGCAGTAGAAGGTTATGCTGAGGGAATAACGCAATAACCATACGATAATAGAATTAGTTTATTGTATTAACCGTTCTATCCCTATGGAGTTTATTGATCAATTCGATTATACAACTATGTTAGTCAGCAGTATTTTAGCACAAGCGTTTATCCTGGGTTCTGTTACATCCGAAATATGAAGTATCGTAGTTTGATCCACTTTAGTGAAGATTAGATAAGATATGTTACTAATCATAAAATATACAATTCTAGAACTATACTCAGTTACTGCAGTGCTTTTCGTAATGAAAAAAAAAACCCTATTTAAGACACATTTACAAGTTTAATTCATAAAGGTATATTATATTCATTTAATAATTAAGTAAAGAATGTTTTTTTGTGTTATTCATACATTAATACGCGCATGTTTTAGTGTTTTTATAAACTGAATAATTTAAGTATGATAAAGTAGAAAACCCGTGAAAAAACTTCGAATTGTTTCCCTATTCTATAAACAATTACTACGCGATGAATAAAAAATTGTACTAACTTGTTTTTATATCCAATTCAACACAACACATCCCATACATGATTTGAGCACATTGAAATACTTTTATTCATTCGTTTTTTATTCACTAACACAGCACTACGAAGCGACGGACGCGACTTTTCGTACGCGACGGACGTGTTCACGTCACACGAGTCAGAAACTGAATGATTCGAACTTCGAACGTTTTCCTCCCGCTGTGCCTGTGCCGGGACGCCGAGACGCGATTGGTTAAATAAAAAATTCAGGTAGTTCTTTAACACTATTGTTAGAGCCAAGTTGGTTCGTATAGTGCTTTGCGTTCGCGTTTATAGACGGCATTGAAGGGTTGATTTTGTTGCTTCTAGTATTGACATTTGAAAAGATCTTTTGTCTGGAAATATTATATTCAAGTTGTTTCTTTCAAGGCTTAAGTATCACGAAAAAATGTAATAATAATCGTAGGATTGCTTACGTTGTATTATTTTAAAATATTAAACTCTGTAAGACCGTCGTGATACGTCGAAAAAACTTAACATACAAATAAAAATAAAATTTTCCAGTAACATTTATAATGAGTAAGTTTTGATCTTAATACACTTTGAAGTAAATAATATCTGTCTATAGTTTACGCGAGTAGTACACATTTAAATTTTATTAATTATTTAAATAAATAATATCTGTTCATATTTGTATAAGTAAGATACATACCTAATTACGTTTTACGAACAAACTGCGTCAATATTTCAATCAGCTACATTAAACATAACCCTTCGTCTCCACTGGGGTAAAAATAGCACACCTCAAGGTGCGAAAGTGTAATTAAGGAAATGTTGCTAACATGATTTTACGCTGCATTTCCGGAAATAAGCGAGTCTCGACTAATTATGAAAATGTACCTTCCCGGGATATTGCCGGGAAAATAGTGGTTGTATTAAAGTAATCGTGTAAATAAGTCTGCCATGTTCCCAACCAGTTAATTAGTTTCGTCTTAGAGATTTGTTTTCGTGATATAAATAAGTTCTTGTTCTGAGATTTCGCGTAATTAACTTAAGTAAGTTTTGTACGCGCTTACCTACATTAATACCATATTTTACGTTTATTAAATACTGAAATGGTTTTATGTTGTAATACATCTTAACTTGGTCCTAGGAGGAAGAAACGGAGGGGAAGTTATTAGTGTTTTGATTACTCTTATAGTAGAATTACTGTGCTATAGAATATATAATTTTATTTGTATTGTTAATTTTTTGATGAGGCAATTTAGAAGAAAGCACGTTTTTCTGAATGCTGGAACGGACCTCTATATTAAATTATTTTTTAAATTAAAACTTCTATTGCCTGGGACAGATTATTTGTATCTTTGTTTTGACTTAAGCTGATCGAATAAGATTTTTTTACATGATAGAGGCAATATACTGTTAAAAGATATTAAGTGCTTTAAGGTTGTATCGTAACCTTAAAACTTTTAGTACAGCATGAAACTTGTTTCAAAATCGTTATAGTAGTTTCCGGTCTATTTGAGGATTAGATATACATAGATCTTATTCTTTTATACCTTCGTAGTTTTCATTTTATAAAAAGAACTATAAATTATATATATTATAAATTTCAATATGTAAATAGAACTTAGAGCTGTTGGTGGTCGAAAATAAAAGTTGAAATTAGCGTAACCCGCCAAGTGTTCACAGTTAGCTTAAGGGATCGACTAGTTGTCTGAGTCTAAAGGCGTATATACACTGTTTGAAAATAGTGTGTAATATCCTATGTATAGGGAATATTGAGGGGTAGTTCTCGTTTAATTACTGTTTGAGACTTTTTCTTTTTCCTGAAGTTTGGTTTTCTGAAAAACCTGTCGTGTGCTCTAATTCTTCTTTTATCGCATAATGTTACAGCAAATTAAGTTGTTTTCCATAGCAATTTTTTTTTAATCGAGAAAGATAATGTAGCGAAAACTAGGACGAATAAAACTTGAGAGTTGACTTTTGACATATTACATTTGACAATTTACTTTCACAATAGAGTATACAAGGGCGTTAACGGTAGATATTGAATACGGTCAAGTCAGACGCTGAAATGGGAAATTGAATCATTATATTTTATTTTGCCCAAGAAGTTACTATACAATAAAATGAATAATATCTAATAAGTATTTATATCAAATTTACATTAGAGTGAAATATTGGCATAGACAAAAACAAACCTCAACCATAGCCCTTTTAATGATGTCATATCTAATGATATATGATAAAATGGTATGATTACCTACGTACGGGCACTACACCTCTAACACGTTACATGTCATCGCTTGCGTCCCGGTTATGTCATACACTAGCTTTGTGAGCGACTTAGTCCGCGTAGAATAGTTCTTTTGGGCTTCAAAATTAGTTTTTTGCAAATCTTCTCTTCATTTTTATAGAATAGAATAATTATAGAATAGCTCCTCGCGACGTCGGCCGCTTTCCGTCGTTCTTGCAAGTTAATCGTAAATGATAGACATGTGGTGTCATCGACATTTTTTAGATTACTTAAAGAGAAATCATTATTTCTTATACATTATCTTTCATATTTGGGTATCTTGAGCCGTTTTAGCACAATGGTAAATAATTTCGCCATTTTTTCCACATTTATTTCTTCGATCCTATTAGTCACAATGCGATGTTTAATAGAAAAACAAACAAACTCTTCGGCTTTATATATTAGTATAGACTTGAACAAAGATGTAGATGTTTTAAACAGTGCGAACTCAGCTTAACGTATAAAACCAAAGGCGACGCCGCGACCATTAGCCGAGCGGCTAACACGAGAACAAACAAGAATACACGCCTTACCCTCTTATGGTTAAAACGTTTGTCCATCTACAGAGTATTGTGATATAGAGATGATACCTACTTGCGAAATTTTATCGGTAATCTTATCCATACAACTTATTTTAGCAAGAAAACATAATATGTACATTTATATAATTGATGCCTTATTAAATATAATTCCTTTGGATCACTTTTAACGGTGAAAACAGCAAAATTCGTTAAATTATTTTAAGCAGTTAAAACAGTTTTATTTCGATCATTTTTAATAGTTTTAACATAACGTTTATTGTGACAAGTTCTCATCCGAAACGTGTGGTCGTAGTTAAAAACAATTTTAACAATATATTTTACATACTGTCTACAGTTTACGCGAGTAGTACACATTTAAATAAAACACTTTAACGGTTTAAAACGCGATATATTAGTTAAACTTATTTGAAAATGATTTTCAACTACGGCCCGACGTTTCGGATGCTTTGCAGCAGCTCTGGTCAAATATCAACTCCGACGGAACAGATAGCGTTAGCGTAGCAGTTTGTTTACTTTGACGTCAGAGACACCCTCCATCTTTAGTTTCTCAGTGACCACGGCTGCTACAAAGTTTTTGAACGTCGGGCCGAGGTTAAGGATATCGTGTTTAATTAACGGTTTTAAACACGATATCCTTAACCTCGGCCCGAGGTGTGTTATTTTAATGTGTACTCGCGTACAGACAGTCAAACGGGATTAATTCTTCAGTAATTACCCCTTAGGTTCTAAGAATTACGACTGAAACGAAAGCTCTAAAAACACATTTAAACATATATTTTAATGATATCTCTGTACCCGAACAAGTCTACACACACACGGAGTTTTGACGAACTTGAACGTCAATATTCATTATGGCTAGAATAGCAAACTTCTTAGTTATGTAAACGGGCACTCAATCAAATTATACTTGAGTGGATTATACTGGTACTGTAAACAAAGAACTAGAAAATCCTCCCTTTAATTAATTATAGTAATTTAGAAACTGTACTAAACTATTTTTATTTATGTTAAATATGAAACACTCAAATTACTTTGTAAAGTATAGTGCTAGAAGCATATTGTTTGAATTGAGAAATCTAAAAAGCTAAGCTTTATCTTCTATATACCTATAAAATAATGTAACCGATCGCTGTCTGTCCATCGATGACAAATGATGGACGTATGATAAGAGTCCTCTATAACAAATAGTACCCGAAACAATGACTTTTGGAATTATTTTATGTTTGTGTGTTTGCAATCTAATATAAAAAAAGGCTCTTCTGGTGGAGAGTTTCTTTAATGTATTGTGGTACGCTCTAAATAATATTATTCTTTGATTTATAACAATTCGTTAGTTAATAAACAATTTAAGCTATATAGGCGCGAGTATATACCTAGAACGCACCAGGAGCCGCGCCGCTTGCAGTGCCACGTATTCTGCAAGCACATTGGGGACCGTCTCTACGAGGGAAGCCGGTTGCACTGCGGACTGCACATTCAGGTGACTTAACTTTACAGTATAATAAAAGTTGAACAATGAATAATATAAACATGTGGAAGCACAGGTGTCCGTTGCGTACGTTGCAAAAACGGTTCAAGATAAGATGAGGTTTGCAATTCTACGGAGACGAAGTCGCTGACACAGCTAGTCTTAAATACACCGCATGAATATTAGATCGTATAACTCCAATACAAAACAAATTCTCCTTCTATTCTCTAAATGTAGGTTAAACACCCGCTCCAAATACTGCGTATCATATGCCAAGCGACACTGCCAAGGCAGTCCATCCGTTACCCATGGCATGTCTCCTTATGTCTAATCTATGATCGTCTTGGCAGCGAAGGAAGTGTAAGCTCAAAGTCAAGAGCCAAAAGCATGCTATCTTTTATGGGCGGTCATTTGAATATTTTTATTAATTCCTGTCTCACGGTCTCCAACGCTATACTAGGCTAGTCTACTGTTACACGTGATCATATCTTTTATTAAAATCGGTCAAGCCAAAAGGGCTTAAAAGAGAATTAAATGTGTTAAATAAAATCGTAACATTTTTTTTTTAAATAGATCAGAAAATTCTCTCAATTCTTTAAATAACATGTCCTAGCGGAAATGTGGCGTTTCATGTTTTATTTTGTCAAGAAATTTCTTTTAATAACACCGAGTAAAACTTTAGAGAATACAAAATATATATCGAATATATAGTAAAAAATTATTATGTTTAAATATTCCAAATAACCAATGCCATGT